CCGGGCTGCAGGTCAGATCCCCCACCCCACCCCACCCCCCCCGCAACCCACGGACAGAGCCCCCCACGCCCGGGGAAGCACAACCCAGGGCTGGCTGCGGAGCACAAACGGGACAGGGATTTGTAACCCTTTGCTAGCTCAGCCTAGAGATCAAAAGCTTTCTCGGCATTCGTGTTCTGCGGAGCGAAATCCCCTCCCTGACTCAAATAGCAGCTTCCCCTTCTGGGATTTAAATGAAGAGCTTCCCCTCGCAGGGGGAGCGCGGGCCGCGCCTGTTGGAAAGGTTCCAGCCCTGCTTGTTTTTGGGATCAGCTGCACCAAAGGCGGCGAGCGGAGATCTAGCCCGCTGCAGCCCTCCGGGGTTACGCCCGTTCCTTGCCTGCAGAAACCTCTTCCTCTGCAAACTCCTCGGGTATATCCGAAAAAAAGAAAAACACCTGCGCTGGTCTTCGGTTTACAGTTGGACTCGATGATCTTAAAAGGTCTTTTCCAACCTAAATGATTCTACGCTGCTCTCCGCGCTGGCTTTGTCCACAAACTGCCCGGGGCAGAGGCAGGCAGCGGAGGGGCTGAGGTTACTCCTGCTGGGTTGAGGAAGCCAGCCCAGGCCTCTCTCCCCAGCTCAGAGGGTTGTAGGACGCGTTTACGGACACATTTTCTTCTATTGATACAATTCCCTACATCGAGGCTTGCAGGAGTCTTTGGGAGAGCCGAGGCCTGAGCCGAGATTCAGGAGACAGCTCCCAGCCCCTCTAAGACACACGCTGAGAGCTCAGAGGCTACAACCTACCTCGCTCACAGCCTTCCTCAGCGCCGTTTTTGGACAATCACTGCACTTTCGGTCAATTCAACAAATCTCCTGAACTTCCTTAATCCTTACATCTGCAAAACATCCCACCCTCTGCCAGCCACTGGCCCCAGGGACTGAAAGAGAGAAGGGTGGTTTGTTGTTTTTTTTTTAAAAAGAAAATTTTTAATTTGTTTTTATTTCAACTCAGCATTTACATCCAAGTCTAGCTCAGCCCCCAACAAGTGCTGGTTGGTTTCGGTGGAGGGAGCGCTTTTGCTCTGCTCCACCGCGCCGAGTCTGCCAAGGAAGTTTGCTCGAGAGCGGACTGTGATGAAGAGATGGGAGAATTACTGTGGGAGCCAGCCCGGGCACTCGCTCCAGCGTCAGGAACCGGTCACCACTCCAGACACCGAGGCCAGGACAGCCTGGGCTTGCTTTGACGGGGCTTTATTGCTTCTGTGCGTACGCTGCCCACTTGTCCCTTACCTGGAGGGGTGGGCAGGAAAGGGGAGGTTTTGGACCATTCCTAGAGGGAGAGGGCAGGAAGTGCCTCTCCAAAAATATTTTGCGCTTCCAAAGACTGCTGGAATCTCTGTGGCTCCACCTCTACTGCAGAAGACTGGCAGGTCTTGGAAATCTTAGCCATGAAGCAATAAATGCTAGAAGACACAACCTGCCATCTCCTCCAGACAGAGGGAGTCAATGCCCAAGGCAAGGAGCAGGAAAGTTGCTGCTCGGAGTCCGGGAAAACAGCAGAGCATCCAGGAGAAGGCAGCAGCCAAGTGTCTTTGACATCCCTCCTTGGAGAGAAGAGCCCTTGGAACAGGGTCACTCTGGTAGCCCAACGCCGCCGGCATCAGCTCTCACTGCCTGCGCGGTGCACGCGCTGGCCACTGGTCTCAGCCACCTTCCCTCGCTCGTGTACCGCACTTCTGCGCGCCAGCTGGCCCGGTTCCTGCAGCTCCCGACAGCCCCGCAGAGAACAGGCTCGGGCTGCCTGCCCTCCCTGCCCGGGAGGCTCTGCAGGGTCTCAGCACCCATTCTCAGACACGGCTGCGTCAAGTGCTACAGGTTCACGCTGGATCGCTGCTGCGGCCATGCTGATGGCTTCCTCCAGGCTCCGCTGCTCTTCTAACTAGTGGAGGAGAGAGACAACACTGTCCTCCCAAAAGGCGGGCTCAGGAGGTGCGGGCTTGCTCAGGGCAGCCCCCAGCAGGATCGAGGTACGAGGGATTGGCAGCGGGTGACACAGGGAGAAAGCGGCAGGACAAAGCAGAGAGAGAGAGAGACGGCTACGATGGGGAAAGGCTGTTTACAAAGGAGCATTCTGCAATCCAAGGAGCACGTCCCTGCTCTCCTCTATACACAGGGCATCTGGGAATTAAGGAGCAAGCACCCTGGGCAAGAGGAGATGCAGCAGAGCAAGAGCGTAAGTGCTGAAGCCAGCGGGTGGATGGGGGAACGAAGGGGAGCCGTGCGGTACCTGCACTGTGATGTGGGTGCCGTTGGCGGTAGCCAGCAATGCCACCTGCTGATGATGGAGGGACGCGATGGCCGATTCTTCAGACATGACTGCCCCAGAAGTGACTATGGTAACCTAGGAAAAGTTAAGATAAAAACCAATCACGTTTTAAAAGAAAATGCAATTCCCTTCTAGCAGGCTGTTTCTCCGCAGGGAAAAGGGAAGGTCCCAGTTCTGTCTGTACCGGCTGCGTCTCGGTGCCGTCCGTGTTGGCCACAGTCACGGTGTGTGTGTCACCACCTGCCAGCTCTTCCTCAGGCACGGCGAGGGCACCGCTCTGCGTCACCATGCTGATTGCACTGCCCAGGGCCTGCAGGTCTTCCTGCGACAAACTGACCTGGGCGGGATAACAGCAGATGCTCTCAGCCAGGATGGCTTCTCAGGAAGCCTTACGCAACTCCCGAGTTTAGCAACACAAAGGTCTCAGTAAGGATGAAATATTCTCCTCTCCTCTGCATGCAAGACCTAGGGCACAGAGAACTCCAAGGACTTTGCCCAGGGTCATGGACAGAATCGATGGAGAACTCACGGACCTCAGGTCTCCAGCCCTCCCCCTTCTACCACACCTCCCCTTCCCGTTTAGCATCTTCTCTCCAGGCTTTGAAGAGACAGCTCGTGCATCGCTGCAGCAGGGAGCAGCACAAGCGTTAACTCGTGGCAGCTGTTTCCTTTGCCCCATGCCACAGAAGGGAGTTTTTCCCAGTCAGCACACAGGCAGCTGGTGGAGGGAAGTACAAGAAAAGCACTGCCGTACACAAACTATGAAAAAACAATCTCCAAATCCAGCCTGTGTCAGCAGAGATTGGGAGCTGCCTCTCAACAGCTGTCCGGCAGGCGAGGGCGGCCAGGCGCTGCACGCAAGCCTGGGGAAACGCCTGCAAGACCCCGTCCAGCAAGAAGGCGAGTTGGGGACCAGAGGTCCATTCTTTACCCTCCACATCAAGGCTGCAGCAGTGGGGTAAGGCTGTAAGGAGGGAGCCCTCATGACAGACAGAGCCCATGAAGCCCCAGGGTCTGTTTTATGTTGAAAAAAGCCTTAAAGAGAACACCAAGGCTGGGTAGAGGCAGAATCTTACTCAGTTAACTGCTGTCCCCTACATGCTGGAGGCTGTCAGTGTCCATACCTGCTCTGTCCCATCCTGAGAGATAAGTGAGACCTGTGTAGGCATACCATCGTCGTTTTCCTCTTCCTCTTCCTCTTCCTCCACCTCTGACAGGAAAGCGATATGCTGGCTTTTCAGGGGGGAACCTCTGTCAGCAGCAGCAGCTGAGTCAGGGAAGGGGAAGAGCAAAAGGGGTGAGAGAAGCACTAATCAGAGCGTGAAAGCACACGCCTGACCCCGGGACCTGCCTGTTGCCTGAAGGGCCAAGCACAGAAGAACACAAGATCATGATGACAACAGCCCAGCACTGGCCTGGGGAGAAGGGTCTTTACCTCTCCCTGTACTACAGAACGGGCAGGAGCCCATTCCCAACCCATGACACGCAGCGAGGACCATGGGGAGCCCTTTTCTCTCGCCTGTCACACAGATCTGGGTTTGATGGGGGAGGCAGGAGGCCACAGCACAGACCTGGGTCTGAGAGAGGGGAGCGGCCGCAGGCTCTTGCCGTCACCTCTCTCCCCATTGCCAGGCGGCCTGACCCAAGCCTGCCGCAGGTGACGGCAGAGTGGTCGCTCACCCTCCAGCTGCTGCTGTTCGTAGAGGGCCTGTTCGCTCTCCTCCGTGGCCTCCAGCTCGCCGTGGCTGCTGCGCTTGTGCATGGCCAGCGTGGAGGTCTGGCGGTAGGTCTTCCCACAGCTGTTGCAGGTGTAGGGCTTGCAGTGCGTGTGGACCACGTGGTGCTTGTAGAGGCTGGAGTACTCTGTGAAGCGCTTTCCGCAGCCCGGCACAGTGCACATGTACGGCTTCTCTCCTAGGGCAGAGGCCACAGAGCAGAGCTTAACCCACTCACCCTCCTCATGCTCTGGGAAGGGATTCCCCATCAAGAGGGAATAGCTGGAGACAGACCACTGGAACAGGTGGAACAATAATCAGCCCAATAAAGCAATTCCTATTTCCTTTAACTCGCTGGCTACTCCCAGATCTACCCCTGCAATGCCTGGCCTGGAAATGACCATTTCAGTCCCACAGATTTCCCTGCTGCCACAGTGCAGCCAACTGACTGGGGAGGAGCTGTCTGCGTTTCACCCTCTCCTCCTCTTACCTGTGTGGATTCTCATGTGGTTCTTGTAATTGGTGGCACTGGTGAAGCCCCTTCCGCAGTTGGGCTCCGGACACATGTACGGCCGCTCGCCTGTGTGCGTTCGGATGTGAACCTTGCGGATGTTGGATGTGGTAAAAGAGCGGCCACAGCCCACAAAGGGGCACTTGAAGGGACGCTCACCTGCATTGAGAGAGTGACGCGGATGAGAGTCCTGCTACAACGCAGACACCTGTACCCCTTCACTCCTCCACAGTATTACACCACCGAGACCTCAGATCAGACCCAACTGCTGGCACATTTCCTCTAGCGACACTGGCATCCCTACCCCTTTTGCTCTGCTGTTCGTAACCGAGTCGAGAATCCCTAGTATACTTCTACTACCCATCTACTTCTGTCTGAAGACAGCTTCAGTTCTGCCTTGCTTCACCCAAGATACAAAAAGGCACGTCCTGGACGAAGGCTGAAGCAGTACTTTATCTTGGAGACCCCTTCAATGGGGGGCTCAGTTCTTCTCCTGTACTGCTCACCTGTGTGTGTCCGGATGTGTTTCTGTAGATCCCCAGAGGTTTTGAAGGCTTTGCTACACACGTCTTCTGGACACTTGTACGGTTTCTCACCAGTATGTGTTCTCACGTGGCTCTTCAGCCCGTACCCTGTCCAGGAAAGAAACTACAATTAAATTTTATAACGAGAAGGAAATAATATGGCAAGCTGTGTACCACCTCTCAGTTCATGCATGTTTGAATGTCTGTCCTGTGTCTGCAAAGCTGAAGGGGAAGAAATATCCAAACAGCCTCACAACACCACTGACAACTCAGCTTCTTTCTATAACTCCTTTAATCTGTCCATAATCAGTCAAGTCCCGGGCAGTCTCCCATGCTGCAATTCCTTCTCAGAAGGCTTTAAAAGCTATGCTCATTGTGCTCTGCTGGAAAAAAGCCAGGGCTGATACTCAAGAGCGGTTTGGACTGGAGAGAAAACAAAATTTGCTTGAAAGAGAAATTGTTACCTGTAGCAAATGCTTTTCCACAGCTTGGGAAGTCGCACGTATATGGCCGGTCACCTGTGTGAGCACGTTCATGTACCTGGAAAAGAAAGAACAGGACCCTAAAATGAGGTCCGAGACAAGGAGGAAGGAAAACAGCGTGGAGAAATCTAGCTGGTGGAGAGAATCTGAAGTTGTCTGTTGGATTTCACCTTGGCCAATTAAGACATCTGGATCTCTTGGGGAGCCAAGCACACAACTCAGCCTTTTGTATAGCAGCATTCTGATCTGGCACTATAACACAGGGATACGTCTGGTCTGCACATTGCGTGATTGCATGTTACCTGCTTTACCTTTAGATGGTGGGCGGTGGTATAGAGGCGGCCACAGCCTTTGTACCCACAACGGAAAGCTCTACTGCCGACCTGCTGCCCCTTCTCATTGCTGTGCACTTCCTCCTCCTGCAAATCCTGCCGAGACACGCATGGAAATTAGTTTAGTGAGCCACTACAGCAGGCTTCGCAAAGCCCACACAGATCATTTCCTTCCTTGCCATACATATGCACTCCTTCAGTTACCCTCACAAAAACATGTTCCTACAAACACAACTTGTGCACATATGGTAAAACCCAGGTGACAGGGCAGGGGTCTAAGAACCAGCCCATTCCCACCTCCCAGCTCACCGGGTGTTCTCAGACACGTAACTCACCTCTCTGTGCTTCACTTAGCTCATTTGTAAAACCTGCAGCTAATATATTTGCTAACCTTGCAGAAAAACCACAAAGCTTTTTTAATTACTAGCTGGCAAAGCGCTCTGCATCAAGAGGAGTTCGGCCCAGTTTCAGAAATGCATCACTGAAAAATTCAGACCTGCGAACGGACATCACTGGAATCCTCACTCTTCATATGGCAGTTGTCTGTCACTCCCTCCTCTTCCTCGTCAGATACCTACAAGCAAAGAGGCATGGGTACTGTTCATACCTCCCTGTACAGTGTGGAACAGGTGAGCAACCCAAGCAGGAAGGCATTCACATCAGCGGTGCCACCCCGCTCTTCTCCAGAGAGGTAGGGGAGGCTGGTCCTACCACAGCAGAAAGGTCTCCATCTGCAAATCTTAATGCTGCCCGGCTGAGCACCGTATCAGCACACTCCTGGTAGCCCCTTCTCACACGCCACCATGAAGATGGGAGAAAATGGCAGCACCCAAGACATTCAGATGGAGCACTGCAGTGACAACACGTTAGGATCTGAAGCCTGTTTTTTGAGGCCTTTGTTGACATGGGGAACAGTGGCCAGAACTTAGCCACTCCTGACATGTAAAAGGTTAGTCTTGGCCTGCTGCCTGAATCATCTGTGGAAGAGAATATCATACCCCGGTGGCATTATGAGAAACCTAGCAAACAGAAGGAAAACACCTTCAAGGAGGCACATATAAAGCAAGAAAAAAAAAAACCCAAGCTGCATCACAGCAGCTCTCTGCTCTTCCCAAATCTGTGCCTGCAGCAGGTTAAGGGTGGTAGGCCCAGCACTCTGTAGGAACTAGCTAGAGGGTCCAGCAGGAAACTGCCCCGTTCTAGGTCCTTAACTGTCAGCCACCTGTCAGTGGTGGCCCTCTCACGGGAGCCCTGTTCAGTTTCTCTTCTCAAAGCTGGCATTGCTGAAGAACAAATATACAGAAGTACTAACGAAGGGAGGACACTTAAACCCCGGGCCAAACGTGGACTATACCAGCCCCTCAATGCTGCTGGCAGACCATGAAAGCAGCGTTGATTCCTCACCTTACTGGCGTACTGCTTTAATGCATCAATGGTCTCCACATCAAAGGCATCATCTTCCTCCTCTCCAGCCAACTCCTCTAGCCCAGTTTCTGCCTGCACTTCCAGGATGGTGCTGCCAGGTGGCATGATGACAGGACGATGTATGTAGGCAGTGGAGCCATCCTCCAGCTGGACGGCCTCGAAGGTGCTGGGGTCATAACTTTCTGCAAGGGGAAACCAATAAAATCAAATGTAAAAGAGCTGCTGAGCGTGAGGCACTCTTCATCTCCCTGGGCTACCTACAGCCTTGGAAATCTGTGACACTTGGCAGCTTCTACTCCAGCTGCCAAGGGAAGAACAGAGAACACGCTTTACCTTTAGGTGTGTTGTGTATGTAGGCCATACTGCCATCTTCCAACACTACTGGTTGACCATCTTCAAAAGCCACAGACTCTAAAAGAAAAGAAAAAAATCCACACACCTTATTGGAAGACTCAGTGGGTTTCAAGCAACCTTTTAAGAACAGAAAAGGGAGGTGGCGTACAATGAGCTTGGGAGGGCAAGGGGAGGACTGCCCAGAGCAACGGAGTTCTTTCTACCTGCCCTTTCACACCTTATGGTGGCTGGGAAGGACTCCTCTATGCTGCTCTGGTGCCTGCCACATGAAATGAATTCCCATCACCTCTCAGATTAATTAATGTCACCTCATTTCAGAGGTGACATTGGCTGACGGGTCAATGACCAAGGTGGCATTGCTTCCAACAATCCCCACCCTCCCCCCTCCAAACACCTATTCCAGAAGTAATATATTATCTCATAGTTCAGAGGAAATTCCTGTCCAACTGCTCCCACATGAAACAAACTCTCTTTGGGCTCTGTAGTTGGCACAAACACAGCACAAAGCTTGCTGGTCTTGCTTGTAGACTAGTGATCTGTCAGACTGACAACTGTGAGAGAGCCCACAGGTGAAACAACACTTAAACATTTGCTTACACCACCAGCAAATTTGCCTTCTTGTCAGATTGCTAAAAACTTTGCAGGAAATCACATGTTCTATGTCCTTGCTCATTCAGCCTCAAAACCACGGGCAAGAAAAAAACCCCTACACCTATATGGACTTCTTAGAGCTAGAGCTAACAGAGGAGCCCGATTGTTGGAACACAGACAACTGCAGTTACATCTACAACGTCCTTCTAAAAAGAAAGAGGTGAACTTATGGTCCTCACCTTTCTGAACTGTCACCTGATGGATATAAGCTGTGGTCCCATCTTCAAGTTCAATGACTTGCCCTTCAATCAGTTTTTCACCTGAAACAGTTAAAAAATTGTCATCAGCACGGCCTGCAGAGTCCAGTCTTTCTGGTCCCACAAGCTCTCCCCTTTGCCACATCTTCTCAAGGAAACCAGTCCCACAGAAGACAGCAAAACTGTTACTTATAAGCTGTTATTTATCAAGCTTTCCCCTGAATAGCCATAGAGGCACTTAACTTCCCAGAAATGCTGGAGCCTCCCTTTCCTAGACAGGAGGATACAAGACAAAGAACCTCAGTCATCACTTGTTTACAAGCTGCCTTCACAGCCCTGTAAGCCAAGAAGCAGAAAGAATGATGTGTGCTAAGCGTTTTGGATCTGAAGTAGAAAGCAATTACACTTGTGCTGGAGAAAAGTTCAACTAGGAGCTTTTAACGGCATCAGCAGGGGCCTGAAGATTTCTTTTCTTCCACTTTGGTGGAGGATCAGCTCTTGGGAAAAAAAATTACAGGACCTAAAGGGACCTAAAGTGTTGCTACCCTCGATGGATTGTGAAGACTAGACTCTTAAAATAGTGTAACTCTGAGTAACCCTATAATAATGTTTTAGTTACCAAATTATTTGATGCAGAGAGGACGTTGCTCTATCCCACTTGAACGTGAGCAATCCAGGTTGCTTTCACCTGGTGCACAATGTTTGTGGGGGTCACAAAACCTCGTGGTTTTCAAGATAGTCCAATTCCACACACGTAATAAACTTGCAGTGAGTTCACACAGAAAAGAAAGCAAGAGAGCAATCCCCAGGACATGAAGCCTCGCAACTCAACCGTCCTGTTCCGCAGGCTGGGAAACAGCGTGCTCCTTTTCTCAGGAACAGTGGGTGGTGAAAGAAGCAGCACCTCACAAACACCAAAATAAGGGCAGGTGTTGAATTTGGCACTGACACCGCTTCAGTTAACCAACGCTGAGCTCAGCACCCCTTTGAGTGAGAAAAGCACTACTGTGAACCAAATTCTATGCATCTCAGTGAAGCAAAACATCCTGCTTAGCTTCAGGGGAGGTTTTGGTTGAAGAGTCCTGCAGGCCATAGAGTAAACTCCGTCTCCCCAGTAACCCCGGAGAGAACAGGGCTCACTCTAGTCTGAACAGAACCTTCATTTTCTACAGCAACAGCTCTCCCATCTCCAAAGCTTTATTTCCAAACCAGAGGCATGTTATATTTCTGCTGCGTCACTCTTCTGTGCAAATCTAACAGATAGTTGCTATCTTCCTGTACAAAGCGACCACACAAGATGTATGACAGTTCGCGTGCCGTGAGGGCACTTTTGATAAGTCTGACTTTAATTTCACAGGGTCAATCAAGAGACTTTTAGACTTCGCAGCCCAAAGGAACCGTTACCTTTGACAGCCTGCTGAATGTAGGCTGTCGTCCCGTCACTAAGGGTCACTGCTTGCAAACCCAAGCTCTCCATCCTGCCCCGATGACTGGTCCTCAGACATGAATTTCACTTTACTCAGCGTGCTCGCAGAGAGCACCGGGACCCCGAGCAAGAGGTTTGTGGAACAGCAAGTTGTCGTCTTTGTTGCAAGCCTTAAATAAAAAGAACAACTCAAATTTTCTTTTCTCCCAACATACGTGTACTCACTTTTGCACATTAAGAAAGGCTTGAATGGCAAACTGTTTTGGTGATTATAAAGGATTAAACTGGACAAAAGATGCACCCTTCCCATACCAATGGCAGGCAGGGCTAACAACGTATTCGACAGACAAATATAAGATAAAGCTTATCGAGCCAGTGAACTGACAGACTCTTTTTAGAGATAGGGTAAATGCCACATTCAAGCCCTTCCCATCCTCCAAACGAGCTGCAGGAAAGGTTTCCGAGTACTTTAAAGTCTGAACCTACAGGCTGAGGGTGTCCTGTACTGCAAGAGACAGGGGCAGGATGATGAGCTTTGTCCCTGGAAGCATCCTCATTCTCTCCTCCCTTTCCTGTCTAAATCCTGGCCTTCTGAGGAACAGAATTTCAGGCTGTAAGCAGATTATGTTAAAACATCCACGCCCCCACGAGAACATTTTGCTGAAGAGGCACTCTGCTAATAGATTATGTTTAAAAGCAGCTGCAGTGAATTCTTCATGAGTAATCTCCGAAATAGCCTAATATGTTATCATTTTGATTTCCAGGAACAAGTCTGACCGCTCTGTCTGTCACTGCAGCACCCAAGGGTGCAGCCAGGCTTTGTGCCACGCTTGGTGCCCTCTAACCCAAGCACTCCCTACGCCCGACAGACAGCTCCTCTCCAGCTGCAGCAGATTCTGCCTGCTTTTAGGGCTGACACCTCCTGAAAGGCATCGCAGCTCGTTGCCCAGCGAAGGCTCCATCCCAGCAGGGTCGCTGGGGCATCGCTGGGGAATCGAGGCCCCTTTGAGCTGCTATGGCTGCCACGCAAACCGATGGCAGCGCTGCTGGAGGGGACGCGACCCCCTGGAAGGGATGGGGCAGGTGCTCCCTGAGGAAAGCCAGGTGTAGGCTGCGGTGTGAAGCCACCCGGGGGGTGACAGGGGACGTGCCTCCCGCGTCAGGGCGGGCTGGGGACAGGGCAGGGCCTGGCACCATGGCGAGCCCTGAGGGGAGCGGCGGGGCGGGGCGGGCCCAGGCGCCCTGGGAGCGGCGGGGAGACATGGCGGGCCCCCTCCCTGTAGTGTTGGCCAGGAGGGTGGCGGCAGCAGCTCGCCGGGACCCGGCTGCCCCTCGGACGCCATCTCCCC